TGTTGCCTCTGTATTGACAATGTGGCGTGTTGTCCCTGTATTGACGATGTGGGTTGGTGCCCCTGTGTTGACGATGTGGTGTGTTGTCCCGGTGTTGACGATGTGGTGTGTTGCCCCTGTGTTGACGATGTGGTGTGTTGTCCCAGTGTTGACGATGTTGTTTTATTGTCCCGGTGTTGACGATGTGGTGTGTTGTCCCACTGTTGACGTTGTGGTTTTATTGTACCGGTGTTGACGATGTGGTGTGTTGTCCCTGTATTGACGATGTGGTGTGTTGTCCCGGTGTTGACGATGTGGTGTGTTGTCCCGTTGTTATCGATGTGGTGTGTTGTCCGGGTGTTGATCTTGTGGTGTGTTGTCCAGGTGTTGACGATGTGGTGTGTTTTTCCTGTATTGACGATGTGGTGTGTTGTCCCGATATTGACGATGTGATATGTTGTCTCTGTATTGATGATGTGGTGTGTTGTCTCTGTATTGACTATGTGATATGTTGCCTCTGTATTGACAATGTGTCGTGTTGTCCCTGTATTGACGATGTGGTGTGTTGTCCCGATATTGACGATGTGATATGTTGTCTCTGTATTGATGATGTGGTGTGTTGTCTCTGTATTGACTATGTGATATGTTGTCTCTGTATTGACAATGTGGTGTGTTGTCCCTGTATTGACGATGTGATATGTTGTCCCATTGTTGACGATGTGGTGTGTTGTCTCTGTATTGACGATGTGGTGTGTTTTCCGGGTGTTGACAATGTGGTGTGTTGTCCAGGTGTTGATCATTTGGTGTGTTGTCCCGGTGTTGACGATGTGGTGTGTTGTCCCGGTGTTGACGATGTGGTGTGTTTTCCTGGTGTTGACGATGTGGTGTGTTGTCTCTGTATTGACGATGTGGTTTTATTGTCCCGGTGTTGACGATGTAGTTTTCTTGTCCTGGTGTTGACGATGTGATATGTTTTTTCTGTATTGACGATGTGGTGTGTTGTCCCGTTGTTGACGATGTGGTGTGTTGTCCCTGTATTGACGATGTGGTTTTATTGTCCCGGTGTTGACGATGCGGTGTGTTGTTCTTGTATTGAAGATGTGGTTTTATTGTTCCGGTGTTGACGATGTGGTGTTTTGTCCAGGTGTTGATCATATGGTGTGTTGTCCCGGTGTTGACGATGTAGTATGTTGTCCCAGCGTTGATGGTGTGGTGTGTTGTACCTGTATTGACGATGTGGTTTTATTGTCCCGGTGTTGACGATGTGGTGTGTTGTCCCTTTGTTGACGATTAGGTGTGTTGTCCCTTTGTTAACGATGTGGTGTGTTGTTCCTGTATTGACGATGTGGTGTGTTGTCCCAGTGTTGACGATGTTGTTTTATTGTCCCGGTGTTGACGATGTGGTGTGTTGTCCCAGTATTGACGATGTGGTGTGTTGTCCCGGTGCTGACGATGTGGTGTGTTGTCCCTTTGCTGACGATGTGGTGTGTTGTCCCTTTGTTGACGATGTGATATGTTTTCTCTGTATTGACGATGTGGTGTGTTGTCCCAGTGTTGACGATGTGGTTTTATTGTCCCGGTGTTGACAATGTGGTGTGTTGTCCCAGTGTTGACGATGTTGTGTGTTGTCCCAGTGTTGACGATGTGATATGTTGTCCCAGTGTTGACGATGTGGTTTTATTGTTCCGGTGTTGACGATGTGGTGTTTTGTCCAGGTGTTGATCATATGGTGTGTTGTCCCGGTGTTGACGATGTAGTATGTTGTCCCAGCGTTGACGGTGTGGTGTGTTGTACCTGTATTGACGATGTGGTTTTATTGTCCCGGTGTTGACGATGTGGTGTGTTGTCCCTTTGTTGACGATGTGGTGTGTTGTTCCTGTATTGACGATGTGGTGTGTTGTCCCAGTGTTGACGATGTTGTTTTATTGTCCCGGTGTTGACGATGTGGTGTGTTGTCCCAGTGTTGACGTTGTGGTTTTATTGCACCGGTGTTGACGATGTGGTGTGTTGTCCCAATATTGACGATGTGGTGTGTTGTCCCTTTGTTGACGATGTGATATGTTTTCTCTGTATTGACGATGTGGTGTGTTGTCCCAGTGTTGACGATGTGGTTTTATTGTCCCGGTGTTAACAATGTGGTGTGTTGTCCCAGTGTTGACGATGTTGTGTGTTGTCCCAGTGTTGACGATGTGATATGTTGTCCCAGTGTTGACGATGTGGTTTTATTGTCCCGGTGTTGACGATGTGGTGTGTTGTCCCTGTATTGACGTTGTGGTGTGTTGTCCCGGTGTTGACGATGTGGTGTGTTGTCCCTTTGTTGACGATGTGGTGTGTTGTCCCTTTGTTGACGATGTGATATGTTTTCTCTGTATTGACGATGTGGTGTGTTGTCCCTGTATTGACGATGTGGTGTGTTGTCCCAGTGTTGACGATGTGGTTTTATTGTCCCGGTGTTGACGATGTGGTGTGTTGTCCCAGTGTTGACGATGTTGTGTGTTGTCGCAGTGTTGACGATGTGATGTGTTGTCCCGGTGTTGACGATGTGGTGTGTTGTCCCAGTGTTGACGATGTGGTGTGTTGTCCCGTTTTGTACATGATATAACACCATGTATGTCTGGGCGTTGTTGTCATTATTCATTCCTTTGGTAGTTAAGGCTATATTTATCCTTGCATGTTGACGTTATGGTGGAGTTTGTCTTGTCCCTGGGTACTTACAGTTAATGGTTTTCAAGACAAACTTTTCTGCTATATTGACAGACTATAAACACTGTCTATACATATCTCTAAATATTTGCATAAACAAATCTTCTTCATAGCAAAGAGGATAAGTGAAAATTGACCCCACTGCACTTGTAGTTTTACTTTAAGTTTAAATGCACGCAATGTTTTACCCCTCTGATCCTGATTTTGTATTGACATGGATGTGTCTGTAAAACCATCAAGTCCGACCACAACTGTATCAATATAATCTACAGTGTCTTGTGATACACAGGTGTTGGAAACCCTCTGAGAGACTGAAATTCATATCTACAGGAAGTGGTATATGATATTTCAGAGTTGTTTAGGAAATATTGCAACAGTAGATGTCTTTTCATGACCCCACACCCTCGACTGCCCACAACGATCCTTCATCAACATCTGTCATAGTATTACCTGCCAAATATAGGAAAGCTATTTTATTTTTCATTTGAGGTTTACATTACATAAAGACCAGACAACATACACACCCGCTTTCACACACAAAATAATATCTACATACATAAGGATGTGTAGCATGTTTTATAATGACGGTGATGATTATTAAATGACTTCAAAAATATTCCACCCATAAGCAAGTCATCCAGATCATTATCATCAATCCACTCACCATACTGGTATGTAATTACCATACTGTCAATATGTCATATTACACACACATCTCACATTTACACAGCTTCAAACAAATACAAACACACATCATACAAACATGTCCTCACATTTCAGAAAAAGGAGATATGTGTAGCAAAGGCCGGAAGGGGAGGAGAAAGAAGAGACAAGATCAGAGAAGCACGGTTCCATGGTATATAGATATAAAAGTGTGCAAAACAGTGAGCTGATCGGGAGAAACCTGGGTCAAAATGATCATGAAAAAGTATTTAATGTTGTCAATTAGAGCCAAAATCATAAATGAGAAGTATTTATATAAGGATTATTAATAATGTTTATATTGATAATTATAAAAACATCGAAAATCAAACAAAAATAAACTTTTGGGATTTTATCATTATAATTCCAAAAGAGGTTTCAATTTTCTTAAAACTTTTTCAATATATCCTTTAATCAGCTCACTTTTACTATTATTAACAAAAAAATTTTAACCAGGAAATGATCTATTATAACATTGATGAGTTGTGAAATCAACGATGATTTAATCAGGTGTACTTTGCCTTTTGGAGTCAGATTCCGTAGTTTTGGCAGGTAATAGTGGCCATTATGGTTTCTACTGCCTATCCAAATAAGTTATGTTTTGCTATGGCGATGTTGATGTTTAAACCCGAAATGTTCGCATAATTATTTAATTCTATAACTGACTCCCTGAGATATATTTCTGACCAATAAATTGTTATGACGAATAGATGTAAATATCAAAACATGCGTATCTTATATTTTCTATATCTTAATGTTGAAAGACAATATGACATGTTATTGCACATGACTCTATATTTACACTGACTCAATTCTTCAATTACACATGGCTAAACTTACTGAAATACATTACGTTTATGCAAATAGTAAAGTCTCGTGTGGCTTAAATCAACATGTGCAAAGGTTGATTCTGTGTCATGCTTCCTGTCTTGTAAATTGTAATACAAAGCCGTTCGTAAATACACCATTTTAAGCAGTGTCTCAATGCCAACTCACGGTATGGGTAGCTTAATAAGTTAAGCTTAATAAAGTTGTTCACATCGAGATCGATTAATATCAATGCTAAGCTGATGTTAAGATTTATTTTGGTAAGATCTGATTTTTATGTTCATTATACTATTTCATAGGTTTTTCATTAGGAAACTATATCAATATTAGTGTATAGAGTCTCAAAGTACACACAATTAGAGACGGCTTTAACACAAGTGAGTGACAGGTGTTGTCAATGCAAGTGTATATGCATGGACTAACTAATTTAAAAAAAATCTTTGTGGCACCTTCCCAATGATATACTGACGTACCCGGTAGTAAAAATACACAGCCGAGTCCTTAGTCATTTTTAACAGGTCTTGCTACGTTACGACATGCTCACCATGGTCCAAGCATTGGTTTTAATTTAGTTTGAGTGTGTAGCAATATGTAGTATTTTTAAAGGCTCTGGATTTAAATTCATGAAGATTATTCAAATAATATAAACACATGTTCTTCAAGTTGGATATCTCTCGATACGTGTAAAAACTTTCTGTGATACCGTACGACAATTGGTTTGGTAGAAGTCTTCCTTTTCCGTGCACACTGATAAACAGTATTTACAGAAAACTGTTTTATATGCAGTCATGTCTAGATTTGACAAAAGGAATCTGAAGGACACATACTACTTTCGGGAAAAATCCAAAAAAATTGACAAATCGGGAAAATTCGAAAACGATGACTGGTCAGAAGCAGACAAATATTTCGATGATATAGGACAATCACGAACGCCAAATCGTAACCAAGATGATGATGATGATGATTTCGGCTTTGAGTGGGTGAAAGATGAAAACATCGGGCGATCGAAAGCAAAGGGAGATGACCTTCGAGGTACACGAACGGTATACACCGGTAAAGAGGAGGTAAACCCATACGGAGTTTCTTCATCTTACAGTCGTACGATTCCAGCAACCGTTGACAGATACGAAAGCAACTACGGAAGCCCTTCTGATCGCCGAACAACAAAGCGCGAACTTTCAACCATAGCGGAGTCTGGAATTTACGACGGTCTCGACGGTAAATTTAGACTAGATGATATCGGAGCAAGTCGACCAGGTGGGACTTCATCATTCGGTGCCAGTATGGATTACGGACGAAGCAAACGTGATTACTACGACAAATATGATACGTTCGATTCACGCAGAAGTGACGACACTATTTCATTACCTCCCGATAACTGGAGGAGTAAAGTGCTGTCATCTGATACTAAGGATTTCTTCTCGAATCAGTGGAGAAAGGTAAAACTGAGGCGTCGGGTGTCAAACGTAAACATGATCATGTTGTTTGTTTGCTTTCACTGTTATATGCATTTCTATATAACTTACGACAGTATATTATAAGTTTGTGGTAGTTAGATACTGATCTAATAGTAAACATAATCATTATTCCAGTCATATGCAATACAAAACTGGTATATAGTGACGATGTAGACGGAATCGGAAACGACAGAGTTGATTGCATATATATACATTTGTGTATCAAAATCTTTGAATTTAAGAAACTTATAGTAAATGTATCAAAATATTGAAATTTCATATAAAATTGTTTAAAATGATGTATGAATTTAGTATAACTTGATTGAACTGGTAACTAGGCGGTACTATTAAATACAGTTATACATAATTCAGTTAAACTCTGTTATATACCGATATTGATACTGGGACACCTAGGATAAATATTCAACCTCCCCAAGCATCAGGAATTGTCCTACAAGTAAGGGTGACCTTTTTTATATAAACTGATATAAACCACTACACAACATTTGTTCAATATGACAATATGACTGATTCTGTATTAATAAACTGAACAGAGCACAATCATTGATTCCACAGTCATAGCATATAGGTATAGGAATCGGGTATTCCTGGAAACGCAACACTGAATCCTGTTATACAGGATGTGTGTGTATGTTGTTTCAATGGACTGCTAGCAATGTATTATTTATAACCTAAAAACTAACACGTTCATTGTACTATATAGGTATCTGTAGAGACGTGACACACGTGTATCAATAATGCGCCTGACAATGATGGGATATATTAGATACAATTAATTATTTCTCGGCCCTAAAATAGTTTAAACCCCATCAACACAACCCTGATAAAATGTACTCTCTTTATGTCTACGTACTCGTATTGTGATGTCTAATTATTCTATGAAATTCTTGCTTCTGATATGATTATCAAAGTAATCTCTTATCTTCTTCATTGATTCGGTTAACTAGTCCTAACAATACCGTTCGGAGCCTATTAATCATTATCAATTTGTTTTAAAATACCTGTGTTATTACAGCAAATAATCCATTTTTCAGGTAAACACTCCTGCTGTGTGACTATTGCTGTTACATAATGTGCACTAATTCTACCGTTTAATATCCACGCCACTTCCAAAAAAAAGTGTGGAAGAAATAACGAGTTATAAGAAAGAAAACGAATGAAGGAGAGACTAAATAAACATATTATACTTACACAGAACTCTTAACATTTTAAAATCATTTAATAATCAATACTGGAAACTCTCCTTGTTTAAGATATTTACAATAATAAAATTATATAGTACACTTTGATATAAATGGATTATATCAAGTAGATAAAATAATAACGTAGGAGAAACACCTTCATCAGGTAGTAATCCAATAAAATTACGGGATATATCGTTATATCAGAACACAAGTAAATGTAAAGTATATACCTAATATATGCATATAATATATACATATTTTTATAATATAAAATTATCATAGGCCTAATATATTTTTTTCGAAAAATATATGACAGATGAAATAGTGAGTGCATCTATAAGACCAATAGTTGTGCTCTAAGTCCATGTAATGTTCTATTCGCTGGGGACGTTTGTTGTACCTATTAAGACCACGTAAGGCGGCCTATTGCGAAGGTCATGTTTAAATGTTTTCAAAGTTAGTGTCATTAAACACACGAATGCTTCCTATTTTTGTATTCCTTGTCAGCTTTTAGCTACAATACCGTCTGCTGACTCCACTGGCATAAAATGCTGTTTGATGCTATGCTATTAGACATGTTAAAGGGTGCCACATACAGTAATTGGCAGGTAACTAGACAATGTCAATAGAATATATAATGAGCGTTGATGAGCCCTGAACAATACACCGATCCGTACATACTTCCTGGTTGATTTGCATTGGTTCGCGTCAACAATGGTCGACAAGAGTGTTTACTCAATGTAAGCAGCGATTACATACACGCGAGCAGAAAACGTGTTCCCTTTTATATGGACTTATTTATTGCTTGTTTTATGGTTCAGTGACGGTTACACAAATTCACGAGAAAATATATACATGATACCTACACCAATATGTCTTCCTCAGTATTAACACCTGTACATTTTTCGATTTCTTAAATCAAATTAAACAATCCAGTCCAATATAACACCAATGATAGTTGTACTGTCCAATGTAACAGTAATGGTAGTTGTACTGTCCAATGTAACACCAATGATAGTTGTACTGTCCGATCTAACACTAGTGATAGTTGTACTGTCCAATGTAACACCAATGATAGTTGTACTGTCCAATCTAACACTAGTGATAGTTGTACTGTCCAATCTAACACCAATGATAGTTGTACTGTCCAATGTAACAGTAATGATAGGTGTACAGTCCAATCTAACACAAGTGATAGTTGTACTGTCCAATATAACACAAATTATAGTTGTACAGTCCAATGTAACAGTAATGATAGTTGTGCAGTCCAATGTTACACCAATGATAGTTGTACTGTCCAATGTTACACCAATGATAGTTGTACTGTCCAATGTAACAGTAATGATAGTTGTGCAGTCCAATGTTACACCAATGATAGTTGTACTGTCCAATGTTACACCAATGATAGTTGTACAGTCCAATATAACAGTAATGATAGTTGTACTGTCCAATGTAACAGTAATGATAGTTGTACAGTTCAATGTAACACTAATGATAGTTGTACTGTCCAATGTAACAGTAATGATAGTTGTACAGTCCAATATAACACCAATGATAGTTGTACTGTCCAATATAACACAAATTATAGTTGTACAGTCCAATGTAACAGTAATGATAGTTGTGCAGTCCAATGTTACACCAATGATAGTTGTACTGTCCAATGTTACACCAATGATAGTTGTACTGTCCAATGTAACAGTAATGATAGTTGTGCAGTCCAATGTTACACCAATGATAGTTGTACTGTCCAATGTTACACCAATGATAGTTGTACAGTCCAATATAACAGTAATGATAGTTGTACTGTCCAATATAACACCAATGATAGTTGTACAGTCCAATGTAACAGTAATGGTAGTTGTACTGTCCAATGTAACACCAATGATAGTTGTACTGTCCGATCTAACACTAGTGATAGTTGTACTGTCCAATGTAACACCAATGATAGTTGTACTGTCCAATCTAACACTAGTGATAGTTGTACTGTCCAATCTAACACCAATGCTAGTTGTACTGTCCAATGTAACAGTAATGATAGTTGTACAGTCCAATCTAACACAAGTGATAGTTGTACTGTCCAATATAACACAAATTATAGTTGTACAGTCCAATGTAACAGTAATGATAGTTGTGCAGTCCAATGTTACACCAATGATAGTTGTACTGTCCAATGTTACACCAATGATAGTTGTACAGTCCAATATAACAGTAATGATAGTTGTGCAGTCCAAATTTTACACCAATGATAGTTGTACTGTCCAATGTTACACCAATGATAGTTGTACAGTCCAATATAACAGTAATGATAGTTGTACTGTCCAATGTAACAGTAATGATAGTTGTACAGTTCAATGTAACACTAATGATAGTTGTACTGTCCAATGTAACAGTAATGATAGTTGTACAGTCCAATATAACACCAATGATAGTTGTACTGTCCAATATAACACAAATTATAGTTGTACAGTCCAATGTAACAGTAATGATAGTTGTGCAGTCCAATGTTACACCAATGATAGTTGTACTGTCCAATGTTACACCAATGATAGTTGTACTGTCCAATGTAACAGTAATGATAGTTGTGCAGTCCAATGTTACACCAATGATAGTTGTACTGTCCAATGTTACACCAATGATAGTTGTACAGTCCAATATAACAGTAATGATAGTTGTACTGTCCAATGTAACAGTAATGATAGTTGTACAGTCCAATGTAACACTAATGATAGTTGTACTGTCCAATGTAACAGTAATGATAGTTGTACAGTCCAATATAACACCAATGATAGTTGTACTGTCCAATATAACACCAATGATAGTTGTACAGTCCAGTATAACACCAATGATAGGTGTACAGTCCAATATAACACCAATGATAGTTGAACAGTCCAATATAACACTAATGATAGTTGAACAGTCCAATATAACACCAATGATAGTTGTACTGTCCAATGTAACAGTAATGATAGTTGTACAGTCCAATGTAACACTAATGATAGTTGAACAGTCCAAAATAACACCAATGATAGTTGTACTGTCCAATCTAACAGTAATGGTAGTTGTACAGTCCAATCTAACACAAGTGATAGTTGTGCAGTCAAATGTAACACTTATGGTAGTTAAACTGTTCAATGATACTGAGGTAGACATATTGTGCAGGTGTCTATACTGAGGTAGACATATTGTACAGGTGTTGATACTGAGGTACAAATATCATACAGCTGTTGATACTGAGGTAGACATATAGTACAGGTGTTGATACGGAGGTAGACATATTGTACAGGTGTTGATACTGAGGTAGACATATTGTACAGGTGTTGATACTGAGGTAGACATATTGTACAGGTGTTGATACTGAGGTAGACATATTATACAGGTGTAGATACTTAGGTAGACATATTGTACAGGTGTTGATACTGAAGTACAAATATCATACAGCTGTTGTACTGAGGTAGACATATAGTACAGGTGTTGATACGGAGGTAGACATATTGTACAGGTGTTGATACTGAGGTAGACATATTGTACAGGTGTTGATACTGAGGTAGACATATTGTACAGGTGTTGATACTGAGGAAGACATATCATGTTGGTGTAGATACGAAGGTAGACATATGGTACAGGTGTTGGTACGGAGGTAGACATATTGTACACGTGTTGATACTGAGGCAGTCATATTGTACAGTTGTACGGAGGTAGACATATTATACAGGTGTTGATACTGAGGCAGACATATTGTACAGGTGTTGATACTGAGGTAGACATATTGTACAGGTGTCGATACTGAGGTAGACATATTGTACAGGTGTAGATACTGAGGTAGACATATTGTACAGGTGTCGATACTGAGGTAGACATATTGTACAGGTGTCGATACTGAGGTAGACATATTGTACAGGTGTTGATACTGATGTAGACATATTGTACAGGTGTAGATACTGATACTATACAAATGTACAGTGAGCCCGGATATTCTAATGATGGACACATAATTTCTGGAACAGTGACGTTTTTATTAAAACATTATATGGTTACTTCGTGGTTCGCTCCTGTTTGGGACGTACGGATGAATTAGCTTTATCCTTTGTTCTGTAAAGTCTCACTCATAATGCAAGATGGCTTGGGAATTACTATCAGAGATAAAGTAAGACATTCTTTGGTTTTAAGTTATTGTGCGTTTTCTATTTATCCCGTGTATTGATTTACCTTAGGATTAGTCAGGAACGGATGAATGAAATCATTATAAATTCAAAAAAATAAATTTAGAAAAAATGAAAACACAAACCGATTTATTTCATGTTTAAGCGTTTTTATTTTCAGGTATGTTTATATATCTTATGGCACTGATTCAATCCGATACCATAAACAGATACACAACAATGCTTCAAAGCTGTTCATATGTCTTCAGGTGTTGTTTTATCTTACAGATCTGGCCCCAAGCCAAGCGTGTTCAGATTTAATTATTCCGGCTGGCATATACCGTAGTCTAGAAACTTAAGTTATTGACGCTTCAGTGACACATCGCTAACATTCTAATAGTAATGTTCATATAAGCTTTCATATAATCATCTATATACCATCGTTTCATATATATGTAATATTTCGTATTATGAAATAACTTTCTGATTGAAGTCAGACATCTTTCCCTTAATTTTTCAACAGGACATCGATTAACAAAGTGTAAGATATCTTGAAAGGCGATATCAATTTAACGATGTTAAACTGTTTTTTATAAGGCATAAGTTGCTCTTTTTTTCATAATTCGTAATGAAGATGTTATGCTCGTGTGTGTGCATATATCGGATAAAACTCAAGTTTAGTAAACTATGATTTCCTGGGTTTGATTTAAACAATGTTGTTACCAGGGAATCTGCGGGTATCAAATCAGTTCAACGATACGTCCTTTGATCTATACATATTAAGTATCTATTTAATGAGATTTGAGGATGTTGTAAAACCGCCTTTTTAAAAATTCTTCCATTGTTAACTTATTGTATTTTGTAAGGATATTTTTTTTCGGAAAATACGGATATCTAGATACGCTTTACCTTGTCCCAGAATCATGTACATGTTTTCCTAAATTTTTTTCCTCGTTATTTAAACATTTTGAAATTCATTAAGTTATGTAGTTAGTGTATCGTCCGATCTACATTTAGGTGTTCCGTTCGACTAATCTTAATTGTTTTCGTACTCGCCTCCTTGGTTTCCTTGGTGTCAGTAAAGAGTACTAAAAGTACGAAACAGCTGTATGACGAAGTGTCGACCTCTCTGTATTTAATTTTAGATTTGTATTAAGAGATGATCTTTGACACGTTTGGTTGTATTCCACTTATATCCAGAACTAATTATTTATATGATTCTAAAACTCCAAATTTATACGAGGTCCGTACTGTAAAATAAGGAAATAAACAATTGTGATATTCCGAACCAGTGATATTTAATGGCGCCAAAAGGTTACGTAACTTAACGACTATTTCCGGCTGATGTCATTTTGCTGTGGAGATATAAACCCTTTACGAATTGACGTTTTTAATGTTGCAGGTTGCTATGCGCTCAAGTTTTGGAAATGGGTCCTGTGCATTTAGTTACAAGAATCAAAATGATGGACCAAGTCCGAGGAAAAATGACAACCACCAAAGACGTCCCAACTCAAATCGACTACTTCTTATTCTGCTCGTCTTTAGCTTTCTGGCTTGTGTTGTTGTGGCTGTGGTTGTTGTCCTGGTCGTTCTCCGACCTGGTCCAGGTAATGTCATCCGCCATCTTCTGTCTTTTTTAAAAATTACTTATGACATAATAACATTAATTTCATTTCGTTTTTACATACAATTATCAGTGTTATCTCCCCTACATAGAAGCTGTAACCAGCATTCAATGGAATAAAGAAAATCACTTCGTTATGATTATTCTTATCTTGTTTTGCCTCGTTTCAATTTTCGAAGATATTTAGTTAGATCTACAAAGTTTAACATGCTTGCATTTTTGTGTCGTTTTTGATATGATGGCGTATTGTTTTCCAGAATCATCCAAACCTGTCGGTGGTAAGTAGATACATTGGACATTACATATCAAGTTAAAGAGATAACGCCATCCATGCACATTTTTCTAGACGTTGCTGAAATTTTCTTGATATTCTTGGGCGTCTCACGACAACATCATGAATTGATTAATATATATATATAGAAGGACAATTTGCAATTAAACCAATAACATTAATGATAAACTGATGTCATATCAAATTTTTATATAGAATTGAATTGTTTAGTGGGACAACGTAATTATATATTGGGAAGTAGACGCAACTTAAATAATATGTAAAGTTAAACAGGGTAGGGGGAGTGACGACCAAAGTTATATGTAAAGTGTATAAGGTAGGGGGAGTGACGACCAAAGTTATATGTAAAGTGTATAAGGTAGGGTTGGGGGAGTGACGACCAAAGTTATATGTAAAGTGTATAAGGTAGGGGGAGTGACGACCAAAGTTATATGTAAAGTGTATAAGGTAGGGGGAGTGACGACCAAAGTTATATGTAAAGTGTATAAGGTAGGGGGTTATATGTAAAGTGTAGTGACGACCAAAGTTATATGTAAAGTGTATAAGGTAGGGTAGGGGGAGTGACGACCAAAGTTATATGTAAAGTGTATAAGGTAGGGGGAGTGACGACCAAAGTTATATGTAAAGTGTATAAGGTAGGGGGAGTGGGAGTGACGACCAAAGTTATATGTAAAGTGTATAAGGTAGGGGGAGTGACGACCAAAGTTATATGTAAAGTGTATAAGGTAGGGGGAGTGACGACCAAAGTTATATGTAAAGTGTATAAGGTAGGGGGAGTGACGACCAAAGTTATATGTAAAGTGTATAAGGTAGGGGGAGTGACGACCAAAGTTATATGTAAAGTGTATAAGGTAGGGGGAGTGACGACCAAAGTTATATGTAAAGTGTATAAGGTAGGGGGAGTGACGACCAAAGTTATATGTAAAGTGTATAAGGTAGGGGGAGTGACGACCAAAGTTATATGTAAAGTGTATAAGGTAGGGTAGGGGGAGTGACGACCAAAGTTATATGTAAAGTGTATAAGGTAGGGGGAGTGACGACCAAAGTTATATGTAAAGTGTATAAGGTAGAGGGAGTGACGACCAAAGTTATATGTAAAGTGTATAAGGTAGGGGGAGTGACGACCAAAGTTATATGTAAAGTGTATAAGGTAGGGGGAGTGACGACCAAAGTTATATGTAAAGTGTATAAGGTAGGGGGGGAGTGACGACCAAAGTTATATGTAAAGTGTATAAGGTAGTGTAGGGGGAGTGACGACCAAAGTTATATGTAAAGTGTATAAGGTAGGGGGAGTGACGACCAAAGTTATATGTAAAGTGTAAAGTGTATAAAAGTGTATAAGGTAGGGGGAGTGACGACCAAAGTTATATGTAAAGTGTATAAGGTAGGGGGAGTGACGACCAAAGTTATATGTAAAGTGTATAAGGTAGGGGGAGTAACGACCAAAGTTATATGTAAAGTGTATAAGGTAGGGTAGGGGGAGTGACGACCAAAGTTATATGTAAAGTGTATAAGGTAGGGTAGGGGGAGTGACGACCAAAGTTATATGTAAAGTGTATAAGGTAGGGGGAGTGACGACCAAAGTTATATGTAAAGTGTATAAGGTAGGGGGAGTGACGACCAAAGTTATATGTAAAGTGTATAGGGTAGGGTAGGGGGAGTGACGACCAATGTTATATGTAAAGTGTATAGGATAGGGTAGGGGGAGTGACGACCAAAGTTATATGTAAAGTGTATAAGGTAGGGGGAGTGACGACCAAAGTTATATGTAAAGTGTATAAGGTAGGGTAGGGGGAGTGACGACCAAAGTTATATGTAAAGTGTATAAGGTAGGGTAGGGGGAGTGACGACCAAAGTTATATGTAAAGTGTATAAGGTAGGGGGAGTGACGACCAAAGTTATATGTAAAGTGTATAAGGTAGGGGGAGTGACGACCAAAGTTATATGTAAAGTGTATAAGGTAGGGTAGGGGGAGTGACGACCAAAGTTATATGTAAAGTGTATAAGGTAGGGTAGGGGGAGTGACGACCAAAGTTATATGTAAAGTGTATAAGGTAGGGTAGGGGGAGTGACGACCAAAGTTATATGTAAAGTGTATAAGGTAGGGTATAAGGTAGGGGGAGTGACGACCAAAGTTATATGTAAAGTGTATAAGGTAGGGGGAGTGACGACCAAAGTTATATGTAAAGTGTATAAGGTAGGGGGAGTGACGACCAAAGTTATATGTAAAGTGTATAAGGTAGGGGGAGTGACGACCAAAGTTATATGTAAAGTGTATAAGGTAGGGGGAGTGACGACCAAAGTTATATGTAAAGTGTAAAGTCTATAAGGTAGGGTAGGGGGAGTGACGACCAAAGTTATATGTAAAGTGTATAAGGTAGGGTAGGGGGAGTGACGACCAAAAGTGTATAAGTTATATGTAAAGTGTATAAGGTAGGGGGAGTGACGACCAAAGTTATATGTAAAGTGTATAAGGTAGGGGGAGTGACGACCAAAGTTATATGTAAAGTGTATTGGGTAGGGTCGGGGGAGTGACGACCAAAGTTATATGTAAAGTGTATAAGGTAGGGTAGGGGGAGTGACGACCAAAGTTATATGTAAAGTGTATAAGGTAGGGGGAGTGACGACCAAAGTTATATGTAAAGTGTATAAGGTAGGGTAGGGGGAGTGACGACCAAAGTTATATGTAAAGTGTATAAGGAGGGTAGGGGGAGTAGGGGGAGTGACGACCAAAGTTATATGTAAAGTGTATAAGGTAGGGGGAGTGACGAGGGGGGGGGAGTGACGACCAAAGTTATATGTAAAGTGTATAAGGTAGGGGGAGTGACGACCAAAGTTATATGTAAAGTGTATAAGGTAGGGGGAGTGACGACCAAAGTTATATGTAAAGTGTATAAGGTAGCGGGAGTGACGACCAAAGTTATATGTAAAGTGTATAAGGTAGGGTAGGGGGAGTGACGACCAAAGTTATATGTAAAGTGTATAAGGTAGGGGGAGTGACGACCAAAGTTATATGTAAAGTGTATAAGGTAGGGTGAGTGACGACCAAAGTTATATGTAAAGTGTATAAGGTAGGGGGAGTGACGACCAAAGTTATATGTAAAGTGTATAAGGTAGGGGGAGTGACGACCAAAGTTATATGTAAAGTGTATAAGGTAGGGTAGGGGGAGTGACGACCAAAGTTATATGTAAAGTGTATAAGGTAGGGTAGGGGGAGTGACGACCAAAGTTATATGTAAAGTGTATAAGGTGGGGGAGTGACGACCAAAGTTATATGTAAAGTGTATAAGGTAGAGTAGAGGTTACATATTGATATCTGTATATATATATGAGGTGATGTAAGATTGACATTGGTACATATCTATGAGGTGAGACAAGACTGACATTGGTTGTATCTATGAGGTGAGACAAGACTGACATTGGTTGTATCTATGAGGTGAGGCAAGACTGACAATGGTACATATGTACGAGGTGAGGCTAGATTGACAATGGTATACATCTATGCGGTGAGGAAAGATACATTTGTATATATCTATTAGGTGAGGAAAGACTGACATTGGTACATATCTATGAGGTGAAACAAGACTGACATTGGTTGTATCTATGAGGTGAGACAAGACTGTCATTGGTATACATCTTTGAGGTGAAGCAAGACTGACATTGGTATATGTCTATGAGGTGAAACAAGACTGACATTGGTACATATCTATGAGATGAGGAATTACTGACATTTGTACATATCTATGAGATGACGAAAGACTGACATTGGTATATCTATGAGGTAAGACAAGTCTGACACTGGTACATATCTATGAGGTGAAGCAAGACTGACATTGGTACGTATCTATGAGGTGAAGAAAGACTGACATTGGTACATATCTTTGAGGTGAGACCAGGGCCGAGCCGCCGCTGACACTTCACTGACATTGTGATATATATTGATGAGGTGAAGAGAGAGTCGAGCCGACATTGTTTTATATACTTAAGAGGCAAGGCCGGGTGAGTCGACATTGAACACTACATTTACATTGTGATATGTTTATGAGGTGAGGCCAAAATAGAGATGAGGTTGAATGGGACACTGACAGCAGCCGAGAAACAAAGTAATTCAACAGAGAGAAGAAACCTTGAAGAAAATATTTGCAATGAGGTAAGATCACATACTTTGTTAAAGTTAACGTAACGAATGAATAGAAATAAAGGTTTTCTTGATGCCACGCAAGGACAATACAATAATTCAAAAGTATACAAATGTCTTGTTATATGTGAAAATGTTGATATTTGGTTTGATAATTCTATATTTTGTTTTTCCTTTATTTGTGTTTGCCCTTGTCTGCGATTTTAAGTTTTTATTTTACACATTTATCAAAGCCACATCGTTTTTAAACGTTCACATTAATTGTACCAAAATGTCGTACTGTTGTGTTACTCAATTCAATAGCAACTGAATAACACAGCTGTTTCGTCCGTCTATGACTCAGTGATAATAAGTACCTAAATTTAAAAACCAAAGAAAATTGAAAGTAATTTCAAAATCTAGATGAGGAAGTGCAATAGCCCCAAGATTAGATAAATTTCGTAATTTTCATATATCAAAAACCAACAGGAAAATACTTACATGTCGACATAATTATAATCCAAGCTCATATTTAATAAAACTAGGGAAAACTATGGACAAGTATGAAAAAGTACAAGGATAATAAGATCGGGTGTTCCGGAAGAGTAAACATTCTCTGCTTCATCGACGAAACCCATCATCTCAGTAAATCCAAATTAGTAATGTCACGTTCTGAAATGAGAGCTATGTATACGTCAACGGAACCAACAGACAGACAAACTAACGAGTATCAACCGAATATCAATGATAACCTTATAACTTCCCAATGATTTTCATCAAGCTACATTGTGTTAGGAGATTGTCCGCCAGTTGACAACTTCTTGAACGTAATTCTTGATGATGTGAACAGGCCCTTGAATATCGAATCAACTGCGACATGTGAATACCATAGGTTCGGGATGCAGGAATGTTGCCATCCAAAAATGGAAATTCAGAATAAAGAAATTGTAATCATAACACTTATCATACAGCTTGGTGGAGATTTAAAATCTCATAAGCCCCAAATATTGAATTTAACTACTTCATGCCATGATTCTTGAATATTACAAGCAAAATGAAGGTTCAGCATGAAAAAAATGAAAACCGGTGAATTTGTCGTTTTACACATTTGCTTAAAAAAACCCAAGAAACACTTTTTTTCATATTCGTTAAATAGTGACAGCTTAATAAACAAAAGTATGTAGGTCTTGCTATTTGACAAGGTGGTTGTTCACGTCAATTTGTATCAGTTTGGATAACATTGTTGAACTTGACCTTTGTTCAAAATCACATAAGTGAAATTTATTAAAATAAAGACATTTTTGTGCAAGTTTCACAATTTGAAGATTTAGTTAGAAGCTTTATACAAATCTTTTGATGAAGGTCAATAAAGTGACCTTATTAGACAGATTATGTACAGTAATAGTAACGGGTTTTGCCTTTGTCAGTTCCGATCCATAATTTGTTGCACTTTGAGAAGCTAATAAGAGATAGAACAGTTCGCTTGCCCGCTGGACAGACACAGTAATAATCTTTGACATGGTCATCTTGATCATTTCTGTCAAACGCAAATCCAAATATTGCATTTTGACTGTCATTTGTGCCTTGAATGGATTTGACCTCGGAGAAGATTTTCATCATGCTGATAGACCCAAACTGCAAAGTCTCCAGCAGGAGTCAGATGCTCAGCAATATACCTGGGTGCCTATTTTAACTGGTATGATCCGCAGGCTACTATTTCTAACTTTATTGAACAGGCATCAGGTTTAACCAAGTTGGTCCATCTTGACTTAGTACACAGGCGGTTCTCGTTGGCAGTAAGTGTGTCATGCTGTGTCTGACCTGACAGAAGATAAGAAGGCATGTACACAGAAAACCCTGAACCTCGAAGCAGCTCCAACACCTCCAAAAACCCCTGGTCAACTGTTTCAAGAATTTTTGTCAAGATATTTGCATCATTTTCTTTGCCATAAAAAGGCCCAATATTGTCTAGTACATAACCATCTGGAAAGACAATGCTCATGAATTTAACATAGTTGCGCTTCTTTTGCTTACATCCTGAGGATCTTTGAAAGGGGGTGAACAGCACCTTTTTGGAAATAAATATAAGTACCATCTAAGATTACTGTTACTTTGTCCCCGTAGAAATATCTTGTAAAGGCAATGTTGTGGCACTTAGCGTCATCGCGGGAAATGTGTCTTGGACCAAGGAGACGGGGCACAATGGTCTGACTCAAGTTTTAAGACACTATGAAATGTGTGAAACACACACTGTTTTTTGTCTGACCACAAGACACCAAGTTGAGACCATGAAATATTGGTCTTCGGTTTAATCCAGAAAAGAAACAAAGCATGGAATGTAGAGGAACAAATGTGTGAGGAACAAATGCTATGGATTTGCTGCATTTGTTCAAGTGTGTCACCAGTCCATGCTTTGAATTCTTCATTTTGAAATGGTCTACATTTATGCCTGTGTTGGTTGGAGTTCCAACAGACAGGAAATGGAAAGTTGAAGAAGGTCATTGATAACCTGATTAGCTCTTTCTTGAAGATGAAGAGCGAACAGTTCCCTTGTTTGCAGATCTAATGGCAGAGAAAGATTCAGAAAGTCACCAAATACATGGTCATTGCAAACGCGAGCATCGGGGGACACCATAGAAAATGGAAAAAATATCAAGTTTGTCCTGGCACGCTGGGGTATAGTGCAAAGCCCAGTGTTCTCTTTTCCACATATGACACATCTTTTATGTAACTTGCCACCATAAAATAATATCTCAACATATATTAGTGGTAGGTGGTTGGATGACATGAATTCAGTGTGAACATCATCTGCATCATTCGCCAGGTCATCTGGAGTGCTACTACAAGAAGGTTAATAAAATTCAGACTGCAATGGCCTTTGCTTGATTTAGCGCTTTTAGCACTTTCCACATAATATGCTGTCTTCTGTTATGCTAATGACCTCAGCAGTCAGCAACTGTTGCAGCCAGTTATACTGGGGTAAAGATACATGATACTTAGTAAAAATGGTATGAATACTTCATAGTAATACATTTATATGTTTCAGGAAATTGACATACTTGCACATTAATGTGTCAGACGGTTATCATTTCTGGCATCATTTATTAATTATTAATAAGAATATATAATTAATTTAAATCCATTTATATTATCCAATATAATCAAATTATGTTAAATTATGAACGAAAAAAAGTGGAATGACGATAACATGTTATCAGTAATACTGGTTTTTATAATACAAACTAAACTGTCAGTTGTTCTTTAGAGGATAGATTTCTAGTGCAGAAAACATCATGTTAAGTTCTACTTACTGAATTTAATTTTAAAACAAATACAAAATACTTAATGTGCTTCGGTACTACACAAAACTGGAAAATATAGCAGTATTTAGCACCAAAAAAAAAAAAAAAAACGAAAATTAAATCGTCATAATTATGGCAAATTATGCAATAAGCCTGTTTAAATTGCTAAAAATGTATTTCGCCGGTTTCGAAATCACTTAAAATCTATTCAATAGACAGCATATATACGCAGAAAGATTTTAAAGAAGTATGAAATATTGACTGAGATTGCAACTATACAAAACTTGACAATCTTTGATATATTCTTTATGTTCTGAAAATTTTGCATTTTTGAAAAATCAAAGTTATCAATATGCTTACATTCTTTGTGCCAATATAACATATGTGGTATCAAAATAACGGACATTTTATGTACTTAAGGCTGGTATATTAATATTTTCATTCAAAATTCTCATGTACCAAGTATTTATCATTATGTTAGGATACCTTTGTCACTCAACCTGGTGTTATATAAGGAGGTCCAGTATGACTATAATGACTAATCATTTATGCGAAACAATAATAGAAATCTGTGACGGGGACAAATGCTGACCCCACCATTAAAGTAGCACTAATGTAAATAAATTTCTATCACACAGCAATTCATTATTCTGCTTTCTGTTACAGATGAAGAACATTTACAAAAACGATCAAAGTTCCCTTAAGGATAGGAATCCTGAATGTCGAGTAGAAAGTCTTAGGTAAGAAACGCTGTAAACTGCCGACAGGGACAATATTGTGCTAACGAGATGATCTGGTAATATGTGTGGTGCTTTATGTGATGTGATATATGGGTACCCGGTGTGGTGTATGCTGACGTATAGACGAATATTATATATGATAAAGACAGTATATATTAAGGTGTTGATATATCGACTTGTATTGTTTTAATTTGGTACAATGACGAATACTTTAACAAATGGTATTGCTTACGATATCATACGTTTAAGAAAACCTATTGGTTGATCACAGGATTTGTTGATAGACATTTTTAATGGTGCATAAGGATAATTTCTTCAGGGTAAGAAAACAGCCTACTTTTAAGAAATACTACCATAAGCGAGCGAAAATAATACACCATGTTTGCTTTCCAGCGCTGATCTAAATGTATTTTGATAATGTTCCGACAGGACTGGGAGCATTATCGCAGTGTTTGTGATCAGTGTGACAGGAGACACGTCAGGGATAACCGATGAGACGTTTAAACAGGTCATTTTTACAGTACTGGGAACTACATCAGGGCTGGCTTCGGCAGGCAATCTAACAATTGAGGTGGAAAGCATAAGTGTTCTTTCATATACACCGATTTTATCTACAACGACAACAACCACAACTGACCCGGTCACCACAACAACCACTACTGCCACGCAAACCACAACAACCACTACTGACCCGTCAACAACAACAACCACTACTGACCCGCCAACCAAAACCACTACTGACCCGCCAACCACAAAAACCACTACTGACTCGTCAATCACCACAACCACTACTGACTCGCCAACCACAACAACCACTACTGACCCGTCAACCACCACAACCACTACTGACTCGCCAACCACAACAACCACTACTGACCCGTCAACCACCAAAACCACTACTGACCCGCAAACCACAACAACCACAACTGAACCGGTCACCACAACAACCACAACTGACTCGGTCACCATAACAACCACTACTGCCACGCAAACCACAACAACCACTACTGACCCGTCAATTACCACAAACACTGCTGACCCGCCAACCACAACAACCACTACTGACCCGTCAACCACCACAACCATTACTGACCCGTCAACCACCACAACCATTACTGACCCGTCAACCACCAAAACCACTACTGATCCGCAAACCACAACAACCACTACTGACCCGTCAACCACAACAACCACTTCTGATCCAACCACAACAACCACTACATCTCCGCCAACCACAACAACTAGTATTGATCCACCAACAACAACAACCACTACTGTACCGCCAATTACAACAACCACTACTGGCCTGCCAACTAAAACAACCACTACTGATCCACCAACCACAACAACCACTACCGTTTCGCCAACAACAACAACAACCACTACTGATCCAACCACAACAACCACTACTTCTCCGCCAACCACAACAACCACTACCGTTTCGCCAACAACAACAACCACTACTGATCCAACCACAACAACCACTACTTCTCCGCCAACCACAACAACCACTACCGTTTCGCCAACAACAACAACCACTACTGATCCAACCACAACAACCACTACTTCTCCGCCAACCACAACAACTAGTGTTGATCCACCACCAACAACAACCACTACTGTCCCGCAAATTACAACAACCACTACTGACCCGCCAACCACAACAACCACTACCGTTTCGCCAACAACAACAACCATTACTGATCCAACCACAACAACCACTACTTCTCCGTCAACCACAACAACCACTACCGTTTCGCCAACAACAACAACCACTACTGATCCAACCACAACAACCACTACTTCTCCGCCAACCACAACAACTAGTGTTGATCCACCACCAACAACAACCACTACTGTCCCGCAAATTACAACAACCACTACTGACCCGCCAACCACAACAACCACTACCGTTTCGCCAACAACAACAACCATTACTGATCCAACCACAACAACCACTTTTGATCCAACCACAACAACCACTACTTCTCCGTCAACCACACCAACCACTACCGTTCCGCCAACAACAACCACTGCTGATCCAACCACAACAGCCACTACTGCCCCTCCAACCACATCAACCACTACCGTTCCGCCAAATACAACAACCACTTCTGCCCCACAAACCACAACAACCACTACTGCACCGCCAACCACATCAACCACTGCTGCCCCTTCAACCACATCAACCACTGCTGCCCCGCCAACCACAACAACCGCTGCCGTTCCGCCAACCACACCAACCACTACTGACCCGCCTACCACGACAACCACTACTGCCCAGCCAAACACATCAACCACTTCTGCCCCGCCAACCATGACAACCACAACAGGTAACCTTCTTTGATACTACATACCCTTGTATTTAAACGATAAGATTTCGCATGGTAACAGAAAGATGACGGCAAGAAATGTTCAAAGAATGAATATGTGTACCAATTCACAGTTTACTCCAAATGTCTCAAATGGGATATTTTGTAGTAGAAATAAGAATATGGAGTCGTTTCTGGCTATTTAACGATAGTAAAAATAAAATAAAATGATTTCTGTTCTGTATTCGTGGGTCTTTTTTATCGTCCAAGTAGTGTACCCACTTTTTGTAATATTAAGAGATATAAAAGAAATAGTATATATCGTGGACTCGTGCCGTCTATGATGACGAAGGGTTGTAGCTAGAACATCCTTGAGGATGTCAGAATATACCAAACAACCCTATTTTCAATTATTTTATTAACTTTCTAAAGAAATGCAATTCTTACAAATGTATGTATGTTTTGATTGTAAATATGGAAGAGGGAATGAGATTTTTTTTATTTTTATCTCTATTAGGTGAGGCAAAGCTTCAAGTTTCGTTGAATCAAACATTTGATTCCGCGCTACAACAACAGAATTCTACTGAGTTTCAGACATTCCAGAGAGACTTCTGTGCTTCGGTGAGACTTTTAAACATTTGGCTTTATTTTTATTTTCAGATTTTACTGGGTTTTATTCATTCTTTTTATTATTCAAGTTGTCCTACTGACAAGAATATTTATTCTTTAATTTTCTTTAATTTTTTCAACCATGTCTCCCCGAATGTCTTCATTCTGATAAAATGTTATATTGTTCTGATTTGAGACGTTTAAAAGTTCCTCATAGAATATCACTTTTGTGCATTTTACCACTAAAAATACACAAGACTGTACTTATGAGAAAACGGCTATTATGATAATGACATGTCACAATGTGGAAATCTATATGATGGATTTGACATAATAAACATGGGCCAAAATATCTTCATCAGGATACAATTCTAAGATATTGTCATTTAAGATTAAAACAAAGAAAAAGATTCAGAGTGAACTGAAGAAAACAGTTCGCTTTACTGACATAGTGGTTATCAACAACAGTGACGGACATCGCCACCAACTACGAGCGTGTAAAATACAATTTCATTTAGCCTTTTAAAGGGAGATAACTGGAGACTTTTTGTAGTCTTTTAAAGGGAGATAGCAGGTGAGCGTTCTTGTTTTATTTGAGAATCTAAGGCTTAATGTCCCTTATATGTTCCGTGCATACTTAAGGTCTGACTTTTTTTTTTTTTTTTTTTTTTGGGGGGGGGGGGGGGGAGTTCACATTATGGATCATTAACTCGAGGCAATATATACGTAGAAAGGTATCTGTCTTACATTATTATTATTAGTACTGAAGAGAACCCCAACACTAACAAATTAATGCAAATCTTTACAAGCAAACTACTTACTAAGTATTATGCTATAGAAATTCCTATCCGCAATTTAGGTAAGAAACTGACGAAACACATTTAAAAACTTATTGTAGGAGGCACAACAATGAATTAAGTACCAATATACGTTAAGATGGGGTACAACATGATACTGAGCATACAGTACGTACTTGATTAAGCGTCTTTCTCACATCTCTCACAAAATAAATATCTGATATAAAGTATGTTTACTTTAATATAATTTCAAATAGAAAAAAATGTTATCACTGCATTGAAAAGTGTTGATAGAACAAAATACTTGTTATGGTATCATACGTCAGGTTATACTGAACATCCAATTCCGAGTATAACATATCACTCATTCTGGCCCAAACCCCTTTTATATGGGAGAGAAAGTACATGTTATACTCATTTAATATCATTAATATCATAAGATATAGTAAACTGAAAAGCTGGTGCATTGTTAATTATCTTATAATCATTAGATTAAAGTATAAAAAATAACAGAATTGTCTCCCATGATTTAAAATTAATCAGTCTGTCAATATTAAATTCCTGATTGTACGTATTTTATGTAAGGTTTGTATGTGTGTAATGTACGTATGTTATTTAAGGTTTGTATGTGTGTAATGTACGTACGTTGTGTAAGGTTTGTATGTGTGTAATGTACGTATGTTGTGTAAGGTTTGTATGTGTGTAATGTACGTATGTTATGTAAGGTTTGTATGTGTGTAATGTACGTATGTTATGTAAGGTTTGTATATGTGTAATGTATGTATGTTATGTAAGGTTTGTATGTGTGTAATGTATGTATGTTATGTAAAGTTTGTATGTGTGTAATGTATGTATGTTATGTAAGGTTTGTATGTGTGTAATGTACGTATGTTATGTAAGGTTTGTATGTGTGTAATGTACGTATGTTATGTAAGGTTTGTATGTGTGTAATGTACGTATGTTATGTAAGGTTTGTATGTGTGTAATGTACGTATGTTATGTACGGTTTGTATGTGTGTAATGTGCGTATGTTATGTAAGGTTTGTATGTGTGTAATGTACTTATGTAAGGTTTGTATGTGTGTAATGTACGTATGTTATGTAAGGTTTGTATGTGTGTAATGTACTTATGTTATGTAAGGTTTGTATGTGTGTAATTTATGGTATTATGTGTGTATGTGTGTAATGTATGCATGTTATGTAAGGTTTGTATGTGTGTAATGTATGTATGTATGTATGTATGTATGTATGTATGTATGTGTGTGTGTGTGTGTGTGTGTGTGTGTGTGTGTGTGTGTGTGTGTGTATGTATGTATGTATGTATGTATGTATGTATGTATGTTATGTATGTTATGTACGGCATGTATGTATGTATGTATGTATGTATGTATGTATGTATGTATGTATGTATGTATGTATGTATGTATGTATGTATGTATGTATGTATGTATGTTATGTAAGGTTTGTATGTGTGTAATGTATGTATGTATGTATGTATGTATGTATGTATGTATGTATGTGGTGTATTTTGTATTATGTTTATGTCTGATCACCGTATTGTCTTGGTAGCAGACTTATATAGGCTCTAGCCTGCTGTCTAATCCTATTATTATTTTGTTATTATCAATAAAATATTCTGAAATGAAATTAAATACATCACCCAAAAAGAGAAAGTAGTTTAAAGCTTGGACGTCTGTACCAACTGTTTGTTGTCTTCTGAATCGTCATCGATATGTTGTGTGCCAATTGAGAGAACATTTCGATTGAGAGTAAACAGAATACTATTTAATCGATATAATTGAGTATATTTTCCTGTTAGGATATCATATCAGTTTTCGTATCATGATTACCATGCCTGTAAATTATAAAAATATTGATAACGTTGTGTCGGATGAGTACTGATCCAAAAATCTTATATTGCCTACCTCTGACTTTACTTACCACATAATATTATTTTTCCTGGTTTATGTATTGTGAAATTCTCCTGTCACTGCGTAAAGATTTCAGCGTCCTTCATCCATGAATGTTATAAATCCTGATTGATTATTCAAAAGATAATTCCGAACATAATAGATTGTTTGAGGTATGTAAATTGTAATACATAATTAAAACCACATGCGTGCGTCAACTTCTTATCTTCTTGAAGCATGTTTTGTGCTTTTTGTGACATAAAACTTGACGTTCGTGCTCATTAATTGGATATGTAAGAAAGTGGGGCGACGCTTCAAGTATATGGTTGAGAATATTTACTGTACTAGAAACTATTACGTGATAAAAATATAGATAAAATATACTGAGGATTAAATTTCGAGATCATATGCAGTAATCACATCGGTCAGATGTCATTATTTCGCATGAAAATCCTAATATTCAGAACATGTCTTGGAACGCTTAATCATTCGCGATAGCTATAACTGGGTTGCTACTGTTTAGAAAATAAAATCAAGAATATACCAACATGACAACATAATCATAATTCAAACTGAAATTCTATAAAACTAGGGCAAAATATGAAAAAAAGAAAGATTTACACAGAAACACATGAAAAAGTACAAGGAGAATAAAGACCAGGTATTCCGGAAGAGTAAGCGTCTTCTGTTTCATCGACGACACCCGTCATTGAAAGTCTTGTTCAAAACGAGTAAGTAATGTCACGTCCTCAAATGAAAACAAGGCATACACCAACGGACAAAAAAAAATGATTTTAAGAAGGAGGTGTTGAAAATTGGTTAAAAGTTCCACATACTATTAATTCCACTTCTTGAGTAGCCCAATAAGATCTGAAAGTATATAGCATGGTAGTTAGTAGTTTAGACAAAGACTTGGTTGAACAGTTGGACTAGCAGGCTATAAACCGTTGTTTATATGGACTCTTGTAAAATCTAGGGATCCAGTATAAACGAAGGAGGGTCGTATCCTTATCGTTAATAGGCAATCGTTAGCTAGCATTTTGTCTTTTGAAAGATTTGATTATGTATAGGCGGGTTTCCTTGTTATCAAGCAAGCACAGTTTTTATATAGAGGAAATATAATAATGTTTGCAGACAAGAATCATGATATTGGTCGCCTTATTGACACGATCATGCTTTCTTTGTAACATTGTTGCATGGTGTTAGTTACTCACAATCTGAACTTTTTTCGTGCTATAATAACAACCCAACACACGTGACCAATTTCGACACTGTACGGTACATTTGAATTTGTTTCCTATGCTATCATTTCTCTGTTGTAGATGGAAAACATTTACAAGAGCAACCGGAGTGCTCTTCGTGAAATGGATCCTACCTGTATAGTGGAAAGTGTCAGGTGATTATAAAGAGCAATAAATATTACCAAATAGAGAAATATATACCCTCGGCTTGTCATTCAAACCAGCAAGTTAATCATATACACTTATGATCTTGATGATTATATGAGTTCGGTAGGAATGAGGTTGCGTAATATCTATTCAAAACATATTTTTTTGAATATCTTATTCTTATTTTAATACGTATACTATTGGTACTATATTTGGTTGATAATGTGTTCATAGTGAGGGGAGCATCATTGTCGTCTTTACAATAAGAGTGACGGGAAATTCGAATCAGATAACCATGGAGGTTTTTACACAAACCATCATGGATGTTCTGGGATCAGCAACAGGTGTAGTGCAGAAGGATGGCTTCGCAATTCAAGTCGATGTCTTAGTTGCTTTGTCTTATACACCAGTTTTATCTACAACAACTCAAAACACAACTACTACAACGACCTCAACAACAACTCCATCCACAACTACCACACCCATCACAACAACTACATCGTCTACAACTACCCCTCCGATCACAACCACACCTCCATTTACAACCATCACACCGACAACAACCTCAATTGTATCTACAACTACTACGCCAACCACAACCACTACACAATCCACAAATACCACAGCTTCGTCCACAACTACGACTTCCAGCATATCTTCTACTCAAACCGCATCCACAACAACTCCTATTACCTCGACAACAACATCGTCGACTACTGTCACGACAACTCTCATTCCGTCAACAAACACAACTGCAGTGATGACTTCAACCTCTACTGTCACCTTTACTCCACCAGGTGAGATTATCAAAGTATTTAAAATTATTGGCTAAGTTGTATTTTGCAAGTAATATCATTAAACACGTTAATGACAATAAATAACATCTTATGATGATCATTTTTAGATTCAATCTTAAATGTGAAAATGCTAAAAAATTATATGTACAAATTTAATAGAAATGATGACATTTTCGTTTCTGAATTGAAATTTTCTTTGTTTTGAAATAAAGAAATACCTGCTAGACAATTTTCAGAATCGAACATCGGAAAAAAGTAACACTTGTCAGTTGATGTTAATATTTTTCAATTTTCTTTTGTCCTTATGGTTAATAATCATTTTTTGTTGTTGTGTTTAAGTCATCGTGATGAACAACGTCACAGTAGTCATATACCAGCCTTTGGAGATGATATGTGTAGTCAGCAACATGCCAGACGACTGGACTGCATTGGAAATTTCCTCTGTCGTCAGAGGTCCGATCGCAACACTTAAAGTAACAGGAGATGTAGTAGAACATGTGCCTAGTGCTTTTATGGTCAGTGTATCCAAAGCTGATACTATTGCCACAGTGAACGTATCCATGGATGACAAGGAATCACACTGCTTAGACAAGGGTGTGTTTACCTGTATCCTAACAACAACAAGCCAAGGAAACTTCACTGGCACCGCGTCTCTCGGTATCACAGGTAATAACATCATGTACAGCAGATAAGTCTGTAACATTGGAGAAGAAAATGTTTATGATTTTATTATACATGTTATGATATCAATGATTTTAAATAATGTCATCAGAAAAATGATGCTTATTTAAAACTGGCAATAATGCAAATTGTTTTTAACCTGTTTCTGAGTTTTATTTTGATATTTGCTTTAAAGCACACCCTACCAGTGAAATCAATACAACATCCCCATACATCGAAGGAGCGGAGGGCACCATCACATGCAGCGGCGAAATATCAACCGGAACAGGAAGCCTATTCCTTTACACAAAGTCCCCCGGCGGGTCAGAGTTCAAAATGTACGATGTCGTGACTCCAACAGTAACAGATGGAGCTGAGACGTCAAATTGTACAGTTGCAAGAACTGTAAAATATACGTTTACTCCTAGCATACAGTTCAATGGGACCATGGCTAAATGTGTTGCCAATAATTCAGCACTGAGTGGGTCGTCTGCTAGTTCTTCTACGGCATTGATACGCGTGGATGAAGCAAGTAAGTCGAGTCATCTTACGGAATCGATGATCTTAGCAGAAAGTGTATCAAGTGCTAATTCTAAAACAGAGTTTCATCTGATGTGTCATTGTGTCGATCAACAACTTATGCCATTCTATTTTATTGGGACCTCATGTTTTATCACTGCTTCGTCTAAACAAGACGTACCAGTTTTAGTCACAAAACCATTAAGATATAAGATACGAACAAGCAATGCACGTGCTACAAATAAACGCATGCAATTATAATTAATGAAAATTGCTGTTTAGATTTTTGACACCCGTTCTCGTTCATATGTTTTGTAATATTACGTTAATATTCGTTTAATCAAAGATAACCTCGCATTTCCATTTTGATTTGTTTCGTTATATCCTAGTAATACCCTTACTTTGTAATGAAAGACGAAAATATATTTCAAAATATGTTGTCGCCGAAATAACAGAATATTTTAGTAATTCAGGAAATAAAAGAATTATATATGGAATTGAATTATTTCCTTTTGCACATATTCTGACTCCTGTGCCTAAAAAAGTAGTGCAGCAACATGCTTTTAATCTTCTTTCTAAAATCACACCTTTCAAAACTCAGAAAAACTTAAATAATTGATTTCTTTAATGCGCAGATGAGTACATCCTTAGTGGGAAAAAGTGACCAAAACTATATCAACATCATTACTTCTGAAACATAGTATTGATACATTTCAGACATATCATTCAACGAGTATAACCGGCGAGAGGAGGTCGGGAGTTCTGGAATAAAAATTGGCTGTAATGTACGAAATGCGCCTGGCTGGACAAATGTTCAGGTGGTGAGGATGACAACAGGCTCAGCTAATGTGACATCGATATTTAGCAAAGATAAAGGTGGAACCCCGACTCAGCCCTTGGCCCCTCGCGTGACATACGAACACAATGAAGATGACACGTCGGTTTCCGTCACCATGACGCTAGGAACATTGAATTGTGAGGATCGTGGATTATACACATGTAGAGCTATTGGAACCACGAATACACTCGCCACTAACATGACCTTTGAGATATTCAGTAGGTTGACATTTAAATAGATTAAAAATATTGAATACAAATCCTAAAGATAACAGATCACCGTCTTAAAAACAGCAAAAATCTGAAATTGTTTCAATGCGCAACGTAACGTTTGTGTGCTATATTCTGACAAAAACAACATACCAATGCTCACTATTAGGCAACATATTAATCTTATGTTTTATGAAGACATAACCACTTATATTAATTTATATACAGTTGTATGTATATATGAAGGAGTGCACTATAATTATCATTTTAATCAATACTTTAATGTCGTCTGTGTTTCAGGAAATCCTGGAATACCTTCACTGACACTAAATGCTGATCAAATTCAGGATTTGATGTTTCATAGGGGCGGGTTTGAACACGAGTGTCGGGGAGAAACTGGATTCCCTTCAGGAAACATTTCTGTTCTTTACAAAATGAAAGGACAGTCATCATTTGTACCATTCGCGAGCAACCGTATCATACAATATGCTACAAACACTAACGAAACCAGTTGTGGAACAACCAAATTTTTCAAGTTTGGCCTTAACTTCACGTCACAAGACGAAGATGGACAGGTAAAATGTGTCATTACCAACCAGGAATTAGGGATAAATACGGAGTCGGCAGTGGGTACCATAGAACTTATTCCACGTACGTACCTATATAATGCTTAATCTCCCTTATTTCTGTCCATAACACAGTTACAAGTATGATAAACGTACAACTGTGATTCCAACTTTTCCATTTTGTCATGAATTTAGTATTGAATAAGAGATTAAAGAGGTTTTGTATTTTTTGTTTAAATTATAACTCAGTAATGCTATTTATTTCTGAGTGATTGAACGTTAACTTTCTTTTAGTATCAATATGCATTATGATGCTCTAAAGATCAATGTATCATGACTTAACCTACAAGTCTTTGGTTAGATTTGATTGATTAGATTTCGAATGGTTATATTTGTTAAAATAATGAATGAAATAAACAAAGCACATTAGTCTATACTAGTGTATAACGTAGTTGATGCTTAGCCTTTTAGTATTTGTTGATTAAAGAATCACTGGTTTAAATGTAGGGTATTATTGTAACACAACGAGCGCCCCGAAGTACCTACATCACCCGACAAACTGTAACAAGTATGTACAATGTGATTCCAAATACCCATACGGCAGCCAATGTGCTACTGCCGAGTGTGCCAATGTAAATACCAACAACGTTCAGTGTGGTGGTTGTGAGGGAGTTATCTGTCCTTGGAACATTACAAGTAAGAACAATGTGACAAAACGATGATCAAATGTGTTTCATTATAGAACATCTGTCAAGTAAAAACAAATACCTTAATGTAATATTGATAGAAATCAACAAAAAACAAATATATTAAGTCTAATGCGGTTTGTCTCCCGCGACAGCAATAACTTACCATTTGTAGAAATATGTTTGACGTTATTTAGCATATTCTTATTCACAGCTACGACAGCAGGGCCAACTACAACTACGCCGCCACCGCCGTCTTCTCGGTGTATGTATACTTACCACTACTACTACTACTACAACTTGAACTACCACTCCTACTTCAACTTGAACTACCACTACTACTACTGCTACTACCTGAACTACCACTCCTACTACAACTTGAACTACCACTACTACTACCACTACTGCAACTACCTGAACTACCACTCCTACTACAACTTGAATTACCACTACTACTGCTACTACTTCTACCATCACCACTACTACTTCCAGTGCTGTTGCTGCTGCTGCTACTGCTTATAATAATGATATCAATGATAATAATATGACTACTATTACTACAACTCCTACTATTACCACCACCACTACTACTTCAACTACAACAACTACAACTACTACTATTTTAACAACATCTTCTCTAATTACTGTTGCTACTACCACTACCACTATTACTATTACCAACGACTATTACTACTACTATTTATGATAATAATGATATTAATGATAATAATACGACTGCTACCACTACTACTGCTACCATGCTCACTTGTTTATATGTTTATTTATATTGTTTATTTCCGAGAGAAGTTGTATACATGACCTGAATCGAATAGGATGTCATTCGTTACTGATATTCTAAGTCTCCAAAAACGAATCCGCTCCTTACCTCTGTCCCCTCGTTCTTTCACATTTCCCCTAAACTTGGTTTCCATGTTATATAGAGTATTTCGTAGTTGTTTCCAGTTAAAAGGAATAAAACCATCACAAGTGTTTTTTTTAGAAAATATCGCATGAATCTGAATCAAAAGATCCTGTTTATCACATAACATATGAAGTTTGATAAATTCGTGAAAACAATATTTCTTTAGAATTATATCCGGTATAAATTGGTGATTTGTGCACCCCATTTCTCCTTCTGTGTTGACAGTACAATGCATTAAAATTGAAAAAGGAAACTTTTAGCTTATCACTGCTGCCAATGTGCTATTGCACTCTAATCATAACACAATTCTTGCAATGGTTTTTATTCTCCTCATTCACTAACCTTTATACTTTTAACAAGTCTGCCGTGCGAAAACTTTTGACATTTCAAACTTCTTCTCAAATTCAATCCGTGGGATTGAGCTCAAGCTTACATGAATTTATCCTTAGATGGTCCTGACCAAGTGTTGTTATTTTTGGGTATGTCTGAAATCCAAGATGTTCGCCATGGCCGCCATCTTGAAAACGTATTTTAAACTTCTGTTCCATTTCAACTGGTTCCATTAAGTTAAAAACTGGTTGAAATGTTAAGGAAAGACAGCGAACAAAGTGTTGTTATTTTTCAACCTTGTCAAAACTTCGATGCGGCAGCCAGGGAGGCCATTTTGTAACATGATTGCGCAATCAATGTTTTCCTTTGCAACGCTTATTTGAAACTTCTTCAGAAGTTTTACTAGTAGGATTAAGCTCAAACTCGCATGAAATGATCCTGAGATGGTCGTGACCAAGTGTTGTTGTTTGTCGGATATGTCCGAAATCCAAAGTGGCCGCAATCTTAAAAAAACATATTTTAAATTTCTGCAGTTCCACTGGTGTTATTGAGCTAAAATTTGGTGGGAATGTTAAGGGAAAGTAGCAAACTCAGTGTTGTTATTTTCCGACCTTGTTAAAATTTTATTATGACCGCCAGAGGCCATTTTGTAAGATGGTTGAGCAATCCTGGTTTTCCTGTTGAACGCCTATTTCAAACTTCACTTCAAGATTTACCAGTTGGACTGAGCTCCATCTTTACTATGAAAAAAACCCCTCTTTTTACAGTTACCTACTCTTCGCTAAAACTACCATCTGCATCATGGAAAAAAGCTTCTTAATAAGATTTCATTTAAATAAGAAAAAGAACCCTTCGTCCTGCTAAAAGTTTTTGTGGTCTGATGACCGTTAACACCCATGGGCCTCTTGTTGTTTGTTTTTGTTTCGTTTTGTTTGCGTTTACAAAGTTGAAAATGCATGTGCAATATGTATTACATAGACAAACTTATGTCTTCAACAGACATCAACTGCACCGATGAAACGGCTTTCATAGGGACGCCTGTAACCCTTACTTGCAATATGTCAGTGAGTTTTAACTATATCAACGTAACGAAGGCGACAAGATACGTAGCAGACGTCATTTCCAATGGAACGGTGATAAATAGGAATCTGAAGGCTGGGGAACACGTGACCTTCACTCAATCGTCCCTGAAGATATCCTACGATAGTACAGAATGTGAGGATGCCGGACAACTTACTATTTATATCCAAGAAACTGGAGGAAGCAATGAATCACAGGCAGTATCACTTGTTTTATGGGGTAAGCTTAGGTGTCAATATTTGCGGTTAAAATACCAAACAATCATTTTGTTCAACGCTTGAAAAAGGCAAATTAAGAAAAGCGTTTATAATCAATTAATAAGAAAATAACAGCATGTCAACATAATCCTGATCCAAACAAAATCAATTACAAAATTTGACCAAAAGAATGATTTACATGAAAATCCTGCAAAAGTACAAGGATTTACAAGCGTTTTCTGTGTCAACAACGACAAGTTACGTGTATACAACAAGAAAACCGACAGGCAGACTAACGAGTATCAAGCAAGTCCAGATTTATATCGCACTTTGAAATATGGTATTTCTAAATCAGTCATTATGATGATTGTAAAGCTTCCCCAAAAATGAGAAGATTTAGGCAATCGCTTTGGCAAAGGTGTGTTTACCTGTACCCTAACAACAAGCTAAGGAAACTTCACTGGCACCGCGTCTCTCGGTATCACAGGTAATAACATCATGTACAGCAGATAAGTCTGTAACATTGGAGAAAAAAATGTTTATGATTTTATTACACTTGTTATGATATTAATGATTTTAAATAGTGTCATGAGAAAAGTAATGCTTATTCAAAACTGGCAATAATGCTAATCGTTTTAACCTGTTTTTGAGTTTTATTTTGATATTTACTTTTAAAGCACACCCTACCAGTAAAATCAATACAACATCCCCATACATCGAAGGAGCGGAGGCCACCATTACATGCAGCGGCGAAATATCAACTGGAACAGGAAGCCTATTCCTTTACACAAAGTCCCCCGGCGGGTCAGAGTTCAAAATGTACGATGTCGTGACTCCAACAGTAACAGATGAAGCTGGGACGTCAAATTGTACAGTTGCAAGAACTGTAAAATATACGTTTACTCCTAGCTTACAGTTTAATGGGACCATGGCTAAATGTGTTGCCAATAATTCAGCATTGAACGGGTCGTCTGCTAGTTCTTCTACGGCATTGATACGCGTGGATGAAGCAAGTAAGTCGAGTCATATTGGTAAATGAAGAATTATTATCTTACTGAATCGATGATCTCAGCAGTGAGTGTATCAATTGCTAATTCTAAAACAGAATTTCATCTAATGTGTGATTGTGTCGATCAACAACTTATGCCATTCTATTTTATTGAGAGCTCATGTTTTATCACTGCTCCGTCTAAACAAGATGTACCAGTTTTAGTCACAAAACCATTAAGATATAAGTTACGAACAAGCAATGCACGTGCTACAAATAAACGCATGCATCTATAATTAATGACAATTGCTGCTTAGATTTTTGATATCCGTTCTCGTTCATACGTTTTGTAATATTACGTTAATATTTGTTTAATAAAGCGTAACCTCGCATTTCCATTTTGATTTGTTTCGTTATATCCTAGTAATACCCTTACTTTGTAATGAAAGGCGAAAATGTATTTCAAAATATGTTACGCCGAAATAACAGAATATTTTAGTAATTCAGGAAATAAAAGAATTATATATGGAATTGAATTATTTCCTGTTGCACATATTCTGACTCCTGTTCCTGAAAAAGTAGTGCAACAATATGTTTTTAATTTTCTTCCTAAAATCACACCTTTCAAAACTCAGAAAAACTTAAATAATAGATTTCTTTAATGCGCAGATGAGTACATCCTTAGTGGGAAAAAGTGACCAAAACTATATCAAAATCATTACTTCTGAAACATAGTATTAATACATTTCAGACATTGCATTCAACGAGTATAATAGGCGAGAGGAGGTCGGGAGTTCTGGAATAAAAATTGGCTGTAATGTACGAAATGCGCCTGGCTGGACAAATGTTCAGGTGGTGAGAATGACAACAGGCTCAGCTAATGTGACATCGATATTTAGCAAAGATAAAGGTGGAACCCCGACTCAGCCCTTGGCCCCTCGCGTGACATACGAACACAATGAAGATGACACGTCGGTTTCCGTCACCATGACGCTAGGAACATTGAATTGTGAGGATCGTGGATTATACACATGTACAGCTATTGGGACCACGAATACACTCGCCACTAACATGACCTTTGAGATATTCAGTAGGTTGACATTTAAATAGATTAAAAATATTGAATACAAATCCTAAAGATAACAGATCACCGTCTTCAAAACAGCAAAAATCTGAAATTGTTTCAATGCGCAACGTAACGTTTGTGTGTTATATTCTGACAAAAACAACACACCAATGCTCACTATTAGACAACATATTAATCTTATGTTTTAAAAAGACATAACCACTTATATTAATTTATATACAGTTGTATGTATATATGAAGGAGTGCACTATAATTATCATTTTAATCAATACTTTAATGTCGTTTGTGTTTCAGGGAATCCTGGAATACCATCACTGACACTAAATGCTGATCAAATTCAGGATTTGATGTTTCATAGGGGCGGGTTTGAACACGAGTGTCGGGGAGAAACTGGATTCCCTTCAGGAGACATTTCTGTTCTTTACAAAATGAAAGGACAGTCATCATTTGTACCATTCGTGAGCAACCGTATCATACAATATGCTACAAACACTAACGAAACCAGTTGTGGAACAACCAAATTTTTCAAGTTTGGCCTTAACTTCACGTCACAAGACGAAGACGGACAGGTAAAATGTGTCATTACCAACCAGGAATTAGGGATAAATACGGAGTCGGCAGTGGGTACCATAGAACTTATTCCACGTACGTACCTATCTGATGCTTAATCTCCCTTATTTCTGTCCATAACACAGTTACAAGTATGATAAACGTACAACTGTGATTCCAACTTTTCCATTTTGTCATGAATTTAGTATTGAATAAGAGATTAAAGAGGTTTTGTATTTTTTGTTTAAATTATAACTCAGTAATGCTATTTATTTCTGAGTGATTGAACGTTAACTTTCTTTTAGTATCAATTTGCATTATGATGCTCAAAAGATCAATGTATCATGACTTAACCTACAAGTCTTTGGTTAGATTTGATTGATTAGATTTCGAATGGTTATATTTGTTAAAATAATGAATGAAATAAACAAAGCACATTAGTCTATACTAGTGTATAACGTAATTGATGCTTAGCATATTAGTATTTGTTGATTAAAGAATTACTGGTTTAAATGTAGGGCATTATTGTAACACAACGAGCGCCCCGAAGTACCTACATCACCCGACAAACTGTAACAAGTATGTACAATGTGATTCCAAATACCCATTCGGCAGCCAATGTCCTACTGCCGAGTGTGCCAATGTAAATACCAACAACGTTCAGTGTGGTGGTTGTGAGGGAGTTATCTGTCCTTGGAACATTACAAGTAAGAACAATGTGACAAAACGATGATCAAATGTGTTTCATTATAGAACATCTGTCAAGTAAAAACAAATACCTTAATGTAATATTGATAGAAATCAACAAAAAACAAATATATTAAGTCTAATGCGGTTTGTCTCCCGCGACAGCAATAACTTACCATTTGTAGAAATATGTTTGACGTTATTTAGCATATTCTTATTCACAGCTACGACAGCAGGGCCAACTACAACTACGCCGCCACCGCCGTCTTCTCGGTGTATGTATACTTACCACTACTACTACTACTACAACTTGAACTACCACTCCTACTTCAACTTGAACTACCACTACTACTACTGCTACTACCTGAACTACCACTCCTACTACAACTTGAACTACCACTACTACTACCACTACTGCAACTACCTGAACTACCACTCCTACTACAACTTGAATTACCACTACTACTGCTACTACTTCTACCATCACCACTACTACTTCCAGTGCTGTTGCTGCTGCTGCTACTGCTTATAATAATGATATCAATGATAATAATATGACTACTATTACTACAACTCCTACTATTACCACCACCACTACTACTTCAACTACAACAACTACAACTACTACTATTTTAACAACATCTTCTCTAATTACTGTTGCTACTACCACTACCACTATTACTATTACCAACGACTATTACTACTACTATTTATGATAATAATAATGATATTAATGATAATAATACGACTGCTACCACTACTACTGCTACCATGCTCACTTGTTTATATGTTTATTTATATTGTTTATTTCCGAGAGAAGTTGTATACATGACCTGAATCGAATAGGATGTCATTCGTTACTGATATTCTAAGTCTCCAAAAACGAATCCGCTCCTTACCTCTGTCCCCTCGTTCTTTCACATTTCCCCTAAACTTGGTTTCCATGTTATATAGAGTATTTCGTAGTTGTTTCCAGTTAAAAGGAATAAAACCATCACAAGTTTTTTTTTAGAAAATATCGCATGAATCTGAATCAAAAGATCCTGTTTATCACATAACATATGAAGTTTGATAAATTCGTGAAAACAATATTTCTTTAGAATTATATCCGGTATAAATTGGTGATTTGTGCACCCCATTTCTCCTTCTGTGTTGACAGTACAATGCATTAAAATTGAAAAAGGAAACTTTTAGCTTATCACTGCTGCCAATGTGCTATTACACTCTAATCATAACACAATTCTTGCAATGGTTTTTATTCTCCTCATTCACTGACCTTTATACTTTTAACAAGTCTGCCGTGCGGAAACTTTTGACATTTCAAACTTCTTCTCAAATTCAATCCGTGGGATTGAGCTCAAGCTTACATGAATTTATCCTTAGATGGTCCTGACCAAGTGTTGTTATTTTTGGGTATGTCTGAAATCCAAGATGTTCGCCATGGCCGCCATCTTGAAAACGTATTTTAAACTTCTGTTCCATTTCAACTGGTTCCATTAAATTAAAAACTGGTTGAAATGTTAAGGAAAGACAGCGAACAAAGTGTTGTTATTTTTCAACCTTGTCAAAACTTCGATGCGGCAGCCAGGGAGGCCATTTTGTAACATGATTGCGCAATCAATGTTTTCCTTTGCAACGCTTATTTGAAACTTCTTCAGAAGTTTTACTAGTAGGATTAAGCTCAAACTCGCATGAAATGATCCTGAGATGG